AAAGAAAGAAAGAAAGAAAGAAAGAAAGAAAGAAAGAAAGAAAGAAAGAAAGAAAGAAAGAAAGAAAGAAAGAAAGGCTCTGTAAATCTTACTTTCACACTCATACACACATACTTTTTATGGTTTGAGTTTAATGTGTCCTATGCTCTGCATTTTATCCAGCGCCCCCAGAGTTCATCGTTCCTCTCAGCGATGTGTCATGTGACAGTGGCGACAACGTTACTCTCAGGTGTAAAGTGTGCGGTTTGCCTCGGGCCACAGTGACTTGGAGCGGACCTGACAACATCCCTCTGAGCAGCAATGAACACTACAGCATCACATACAGGTACGTCTGAATTTCCTCTCACTGATCTGTGAAATTAGCAGTTAGCTGGTTATAATGGAACATAGCACAGTTTGACCAACTGTATGCCGGCCAATGAGAACCCACACGAGCTATAAAAGCTGTTTAGTCTTAATTTAGTTAAGTTTTAAAAAAAACAGAAGTGCTGCTGTGCATCTGACTTCATGTGTTAGTCTTATTTTCTGTTCCCCTTTGGCTCTGTATCTCTGCAGTGAGACAGGAGAGGCGGCGGTGCGTGTCCTGGGAGTGTCTCCAGAGGACAGTGGTGTGTACACCTGTGTAGCAACAAATATAGCCGGCACTGTCTCGTCCTCTGCCAACCTCACAGTGCAAGGTGAGAACATTATTGTGATGGAAACCCCTCAATTTCTTTGGTCTACTAGACATCAGATGTGTGTGTTCCAGGTATTGTTGGTAGGGTAACACTAATAGCACAAAACAATGAATGTTCTCAGGAGTCCCTGATGATGGCAGTGAAGTTTTCTGGAAGAGCAATTTTGAGTCGTACTATACAGCAATCACTGAACTCGGAAGGTAAGGAGGCAGAGATAAAATCCACCCTTTACCCTTTAAGGTCTGTGTTGTGGGGCAACTTGGCCACATCAAAGTTAAGAAATCAACTGATTAACTGATCTTTCCATCCGCTGCACAAGATAGGTAAAGCAGAAATATTGTAAATATTTACCCCAAACTGGATGTTCTAATATTAATTATTTGACTACATCTGGACTAAAGAACCTACAATGGTCTGCAAAAGTATTAGTACCTATGGAACGGGAAAAAAGACAAAGGGGAAAAACTAAAGGAAAATTAGAATTTCTCACTGCTAACATGCCAAGAAATGCATGACCTAAGTCAAGTGAATGAATAAAAAACTACAGATAAAAAAATCCTGGTAAAGGCAAGAGCAAAATTATACATTTTTTAAAGGTACAGTAAATGCCTCATTATTAAGCTAGGTGAAACCAAACATGTAGTAAGAGTATGCGTTTTTAGTTTTTGTCAAAGTATATCCACTTTCAGAAAAGTGAAGCATCCACTGATGGATTTAGATTCGATCTTAAGTTCCAGTAAAACCTAAAGAACTGTGCAGAGCTGCTCCGTGATATTAACAGGCTGCATCCCTCCTCGGCAGGGGCCGGTTCTCTGTGATTAAGAGGTGTGACCAGAGAGGGAGCAAACGCACTGTTGCAGCCAAACACGTCAACAAGAAGCTGCTGCGTCGAGAGCAGGTCCTGCAGGAGATCAGACTCCTGCAGACTCTGGACCATCCCAACCTGGTCAAACTACTGGATACCTATGAGACGGCCAGCAGTTACATCCTTGTCCTGGAGATGTGAGTCGAGTAGCCGTGATTCCCTGCTGTTTTACAAAAATAAACAAATCATCTCTGTAATGTTAACGTCCCTTGCCTGCCTCTGCCCTCAGGGCAGATCAGGGACGTTTCCTGGACTACATCGTGAGCTGGGGCAACCTAACAGAGGAGAAGGTGGCTCTGTACCTCAGAGACATTCTTGAAGCTCTCCACTACCTGCACAGCTGGAGTATAGCACACCTGGACCTCAAAGTAAAAAAGCGTTCTCATATCAGTGGAGTTTGTTATTTAATTCTTCCTTAGATCGAAATAGCTACATGTTCAAGGGAAATTATTTTCAATTTTGGATGTACTGCATACTACCAGAAAAACAAAAGCAAAATATAAGCAGTGAGGCTTTGGTTTGTAATGGTATTTAAAATCCCTTCTCTTCCTTCTGTAGCCTGAGAACATAGTGGTGGAACATGCATCCTCCCAGCCTTTAATCAAGCTGACAGACTTTGGTGACGCTGTTCAACTGAATCCTCTTTCCTCCTACATCCATCCGCTGTTGGGGAGCCCCGAGTTCTCAGCTCCTGAACTGGTCCTGGGTCAGCCTGCCTCACAAATGTCTGACCTCTGGAGCCTAGGTCTGTTGTCAAAACCACACCATGCACTGGACTGATTTCATTTAGGCAGAGTTAGGCAATCTACCAAAAGTTTATTCATAGATAGCTATATTACGTTTTAGTGCCTAGTGTTAAAAAAAAGAATAATTTACATAGCAAATTGTCACTTATTCTTATTTCAAATGTAAAACCGAAAGTCACTTAGAGTTGAGTGACTTGTTTTCTGTTGTCGGACCCATTCATTTGCAGGAGTGGTGACCTATGTTGTCCTAAGTGGAGCCTCTCCCTTCCTGGATGAAAGTCTGGAGGAGACGTGTCTGAACATCTGCCGCCTGGATTTCAGCTTCCCGGAGGACTACTTCCAGGGTGTAAGCCCAGCTGCCAGGACCTTTGTCTGCCAGCTGCTCCAGGGTGAGCCGGAGCGCCGGCCCTCTGCCGCGTCCTGCCTGCAGGAGCCGTGGCTCCAGCCTCAAGGATTGTCAAACAGAGATCACACGCCACCCGCACCGCCTCCATCCAGAAGCCATTACAGCACACACCTGGACACCTCCAGGCTCATCTCCTTCATCGAGCGACGGAAACACCAGAACGATATTCGGCCCGTGGGCACCATTAAGGCCTTTCTTCACAGCCGTCTTTTCAACCACACCTGACAGAGAGGCCACCAGATAGAGAAAACCTGAGGGAAATAATGCGAGTGCTGCTCTTGGTTGGGTCACTCCTCGGTAAAAACCTGCTGTGAGGACCACCAGCGATATGTCCTCTAAGATCCCCTCCTCCCTCACCAAGCCACAAAAGTCCTGCTGCTGCTGACTGAAGAACTCTTTGACTCTTTCCACCCCTGTCTTCAACCTTGGCATTTTGTCTATATGCCTGCACAACGAACCAACCGTCGGGATCTACCGGATCTACTAAGCCCGTGACTAAACAGTTGGAAAACCAAGCTTTCTCAACAAGCCAACGTGAGCAAGTCTCACGTTTTGGACAGTGTTACACAAAGAAAATAGAATACTGTATAATAGGAATTATTTCAGGCTGCTTTAGGTTGAACACAAGACAATGTTTTTTGTAACGAGAGATTACTTTTTGTAAATGAAACCATGTACAGTTGGGAAACAGAGAACTGTCTTTATTTAGACCTTTTGAAAAAAACAAAGTGTAGTTGATATTGAAAGTTGAAATAGGAGAAATGAAATGCGTAATAAAAAAGTGGCACCTATCAGCAGGGTCCACTTGTTCTGTACACAGACAGAACCACCAAAATCACGTTTTCCAGACATACGTTTAAACATGCATTCTCCGCAATAGTTACCTTCATTACACACCTCGGTTTGAAATGTTGAGTCAAAAAATAAAATAAAATAACTTGAAGTAAGTAAAGACATTCAGCAAAAAAAAAACACTTTTGGCAAAGCTTTCCAGATCCCTACCTGCATCCGCCTTATTTGTAAATAATGTTTTCCTGCTTTACACATTTTCATTTTAGAAGAAGAATTTATCGAATGAACAAAAGCTATTTTGTTTGCCCAGTTTTAGTGATTGCAGAAAGGGTTAGACACCCCATACAGACCCTCAGTGGCTGGATTTTCATGATGAACAAACCGCTACTAGAAATGCACTTGTATTTTGCATTGGTTCTCATGTGCAATGTTGCAGCTTTAACTTGTATGCAACTATTTATGAAGACTTGTGTTGTAGCCGTATTCTTAAAAAGGCATGTATGTACCTGGTACTGCATTAGATGTCTGTATTGTGTTAACTCATTTGCATTCAGTTCAGTATTAGTATCAGCAAAAAAAAAACAAGACAGAGGAGGGTTTTTCTGAAATAATGTATAGAAATGTGTATCCACAAAGTACAGACACATGCTTTCGTTGTGTCCTTGTTTTGTTGTAAATTTCTGTTACAATACCAAAGTTGGCTGTGCTTTCCTTTCCTGCTAATATGTCCCCCCACCACCACCAATTTTTCTTCTTAAATTATGACAGCCCATACTGAATTCAGACACATGAGTGTTCACAGAGGTTCAGTGTGGCTTTTATTTATTCCTATTATTCCTATTGTAATGAAATATAGTGGTGGTTTATTGCTGGAAAAAAGATTTCATTCGTCTCTTTTCGAGCTGTGCACAAAGTGGTTTGCTGTGTGAGATTGTTTGGCTTTTGTGAATAGATGCCAGTGTCTGTCGGTAGATTTTGTTTTATTAGATTTCGCTTAATGTTTTATTTAGCTATTTTTTTCTTTCAATGATTTCTTTTTAAAAGCTTGGTTTTAAATCATACGGCAAAATTTGTTTATACTTTAACCAAGCAATAGGTCTAAAGAAAATGCATCTTTTTGAGATTGCATCAGAGAATGCTTTTTATGTTTTAGAAGGCAACCAAAAATTTTACCACCAACATTTTAAATGTAACCCTCTGATAAATGGCGGAGGTCTCTTCCAGTTGTTTTTAGCCAGCTGTGTTTATGTCTTTTGGTCAAGAAGTTTTGGAAATCCTCATTTCTTGAAGTGCCAGTTGAGCGAGACAGGCGGATGAAACTTAAGGAAAAAAAGTGTATTGTTTCTTGTTAGCTTTGAAGGAAGTTGTCATCAGATGATCTGAGTATGAGTTTAATGCTTCTTGTTGGTCTTTACAGTCTTGAGTCTCGTTTAGTCGCTTTTTATTTATTGATGTGGGTCGGGGTTTCCAAAAATTGTGCTGTTAATAACTTTATCATATTCTCTCAAAGCCCATTCATGGAAGGATCTGATCTAAGTACTCAAATTTATTTTGAAACCTGAGCTGCTCTTGATGTAAAGATGTACAGAGAGTGTCGGGCAGGATGTAAACCTCATAACTGTCATATTTTAAATACACTTACAATGAGACTGCAGCAATGTCATCTTGAATGTCTTACTATGACTTATTTTTACTTTTGCATGTATATTTCTTTGTACAGAAGATTGTGTTTACATGTTACTACCGTACGTGTTGTAAATAATTTATTTTGTCTCATTATTTTGTCATTAAACGTTTAAGGAGCAAAAGGTGTTCCTTTTTTGTTTCCTTGTTACAGCACTCTCCCACGCATGAGCTCATCATTTGTTATGAAGCTGTTTTAAATAATTTATTATTTCCCATTATTTTCACGTAGTAGAAGGCCAGTCATATATTTCTGGAATGATTAGTAAGTGTCACGCAAACCTGATTTGACTGATTGGGATCAGAAGCATCAATAAGATCATGACAGCTTAGAACTTTAACACTTTTTAAAACCAGGATGAGTATAACAAAAAAAGAATGCATGGTAATACACTGAGAATCATAAACCCGCTGAAGATCGACAAGCATGATAGACCATAAACAGGAAAAAGAGAGGGGGCGTTTCTGATCTTATCTTTCAAGAACAGATGCTGAGCAAAGCCTGCTTGAACCTGTTTCCCCACCTCCGCTTCCAGTGTTTGTCAGGTATTTTTATCGAGCATACAATCGATAGAATTTTTGGTATGTATGATGATAATCATTCCTCTGTCCTTGATTGCATAAAGTGTCATTGTTAATATTCAACAGCTAAACAGAGATAGCCAGCTCATTGTGTGCACAAATACTGTGCTCACCAATCTGTTTGCACATTGTCTTATCAGTTGTGAAATCTACTTCGATCTTTTCTTTTTGTAGGGCGGCAGCAGAAGCAACAGTTTTGCATGAAACCACAGAGATCATATCTGTGCAATCTTTTTAGAATGTCATGATTGAAAGCTCGGGGAAGGACCATGAGGTGTGAAGGTGATGCGTTCTGGTTTTTTATCTCTCTTCCTTGCTTTGTTTGTCAGGCTTCAATAGCTTTTTTATCTTTCACAATGTGTGACCCGTAGAGGGCTTCACTTTAAGGTGACACTTAATGTTTACAATCATTACGTGGATATAATGTTGACTAAAGATATGTCATGTACTGTTATTGTGAGGTGATACAAGCTTATATGGAAATATGTCCTAATTGTTTTACTTCTGAGCACATCATTTGAAATGTAAATGTAGAAAAATCTACAAAGTGACAAAAATAACAGAAAAAAGCTCGGAAATAGAAAAATACTAGCCATTTATAGTGTTACAGTCTTGAATTGGCTTTGCTTGGATGGATAAATAAATGTATTTTATTTTTCATTATACCCGTCATGTCCCACTTTGATAGCTTGCTTCATGGCCCTCACCCACTCCATTCAGGCTCATTCAGAAACAGAAATTTCTGTTTGACTTTCTGTCTGTCACCTTAAAATTGAGAAGGCTGAAATCACTAAGATATCCATTTATCTAAGCCCACTTCTAAAAGTGAAAGAACCCTTCTCAATACTTTGATCACTTCCTAGAAAGTAAGTTTCATCACAGATAAGAGAAGGTCACAAGCACTCACAAATACAGTCACAGATACAGTACAGATCGGCCTCAGATGTGAGTCTGACTGCGTTGTATCACTAGATGGTGCTAAAGAGCTTACATTGTTTTTGCATAGCTTTTTGTTGATTATTTCAAACATTTACAACCACAAAGCAGAAGTTCAAACTGCAAACTTCTGAGAACAGTAGCACTTTGGTTGATTGAACAAGAACAACATGTGCCTTTTTCAAGACAAACAAAAAAGTGTGAACATTTTTTAAATGCACTGTTGGATTAGCATTCCAGCAAATCACCCTCCATTGCTTTGACTCTACAGTTTCAGAAGTGTTTCTATGTGTTACAGTGAAAACCAGAGTTCATAATCAAATTGAGTTTCCATTCCACAACTAACTGTAACCCTGGATGTGTTTGTAGCAGTTGAAGCACCTGTTCTAATAATTCATCTCATCATTCCTAATGTTACCATATTCTGAGAATTAGATATGGCAGTCCACTCATCCACAGATAATAACAGAAGATTATTCTTAAATGAGACCCCTCCTTCCTGTTTGTCACCCCTCTTTTCACTGCTTTACTGGCCTTTTGGTTCAGTCATTTTTGGTGTTACTGACTTTTACATAATTTTAATATTCTCACAACAAACTCAGTGAACATAATAACTCTGCTGCACGTCCAGATAAGGTAGGGATTTAATCCCAAACTCAAACTTGCATTGAAGTTGTTCTATCAGTACACTGGCTGTTGCCACTAAAATAACAAGTAGGTTTGTCAAAGGAAGTTGCCCAGCTCAAAGTGTTTGTTTTTTCTTTATGCAGTCATTGTTTTTAGTAATATATGGAAATATAAATCAGTTTTGTCTGAATGCAGTTAGGTAGCCCAACGTGTTTCAGCAGTTTACTGGCAAAAGTCTCTTCTGTTCACACCTACACATGTATTTCTATGTAGGCAGTCGGTGCGTCGATGAATGTGTTGCATGAGCCGGAAACTGAAATGCCTTTCATGTTTCAAGTAAAGTCATTACCTTCATGTGCATTCTGTCCCTGTTGCCAGTCGGTCCAGAGATTTTGTCAGCATGACATCTGATATTTTTCATGGCAAAAGTCCCCATGCATTGTGTAAAGTTCCCCCGTCTTAATGCTCAGACTGAGCACAATCTCACAAGCAGCAACACCGGCATGGAATATGTCAGTCATTTGACGTGTTTGGTTTTCACTTTCCACCTCCACAGTGAAAATCTGTCCTCTATCAGATTGCAGAATGGGCAGTACAGTGTAGGGAAATCCTTCAACGTGTCATTATTTGTGGTGAGAGCTGATTATATCACACACTCTACTGCACAATAACAAATAAGACTTTGTGTGTGTGTGCAAAGTAATTACTCATCTCATACTAACCCCGCATTCCAGGAAAACCTCTTCTATAAAAACAGAAAAGTGACGTGTTTTTTTTTTTCCTGGCCTTTTTTCTTGATCATAATATTTCCTTTTCATTACAGTGGCCAGGATCCTTAATGCCAAGGATATCCATAAGACACATACAGTTGACGGACAAATGTTAAAATGAAAGGTTGGTCATATTTTAAGCTATTGCTTAACTTTTTAAAAAGCATCTAGCATTTCATGGACAAACTGCTGATCACTTTTGATATCTGGAAGGCAACCAGTAAAAACCAATGACGTGACATTGCGGTGCCAGCAGTATGGTTAATTTAAGTTGGGTGTTTGACACAGGAGGAACATTAACTTCCTTTTTTCTCGTGATATCTTTATCTTTTGATTTCTAATCGAGATAAGTACAGATGCATGAGTGTGGCAACCCACAAGAGAGAATGGTTAAAAAAACAGCTCTCCTTTTCTTCTTTGGAAAATGAATAGTTGAGAGCTCAGACGGAGACAATGACAATTATGACAGTTTTCATGGAACAAGTCTGCGTGATTTATAACATATAAGTATGCTTTTCATCAAAATACCGTGAAATTAAAGAAAACTAAGGAAAAATGTTTTAAAAAAGAAATTAGCAGAATAGTTAAAACCATGATACCGGTACAAAACGTCGAAACATTTCCTGTACCTTGTGAATGGGCCTTTTGACTGACAGGCTCCCAGTAATGGTTCTTCTAGTTTGTGACAAAATTATACTAATAAAAGCATTGGCATACTTACTTTAATACATAGTGTGGTTGCTTATCTGACTGTAACTGTCAGGAAACGCACAGTTAGCAAGGTAGCTTGTGGTCACATCGATCACATGACTGCTTCTCAACTGATGAGTACATAGTAAGCGTAACTCAGCCTTTGCTTTTATTTCTTAAACCTTTATTTTTCTTCTGCATATTTTTTAAGCCAACACATTTACAATTCAGCAAAAAACATTTGAAACAATCAAACTGATTCTTCGTCATATTCTTTCTATTAGCCATCCAATCACAATACTTAGTTAATATGTTTATACATTAAGCATATGAATGTAGATTTTTTTTAAATTAACTTTCAGGTCACCTGCTTTGCTTTAGGATTGCAGCGGGTTTCTTTGGCCACAAAATGTTTAGATGCCTACAGAGTCTGCAAAGGTTCATTGCCCTGCTTGGTTACACGTTTCCTCTATCTGGTTGTGCTTTTTGGGTTTGACCTGAACTTGCAAACCTGTAGCATCGCTGTGCAAAAACCGATGTCTGCACGGATGGTGCTTGGCAGACTCAAGAAGCAACAGCCTGATGCAAGATTTTAAAAACTCGTAGTCATAATGATAAAGTTAATATTTATTGTTAGCATGTACACCTGATAAATCCTGATTTCCTGCAGTTTCTTTGATCTGAGAATGATTAAAGAGCATGCACAGGTATTCAAAATGATTTCTGACTCACTGAAAAAGGTACATTTCTTTGTTCCTCAATTTAACACAGAATGTTCAGCCTGCTTAATCAGATTTACAGGATACGATATAAGTTCTTGCAGTATAGAGCTTGCAGCTGTATAACAAATATAAGACATAAGGTCATAAAATGCAGTGAGACAACAAACTACAGCATACTTTATGTACATGAACAAAATACAAAAACTTACCGCATTGATATATTTTACTAAAAACAAACCAGATTGGCCAAAATTAGCATAACTGTCCTCGAAGACATCAAGAGCAGTATCTTCAAGGCCATATTTTACAGTCCAGTGCTCCTCTCATCCATGCTGGTATTTTGTGAGTACACTGATGCTGTGATCATATCCTGAGGCATGTACACTTTGATCACTTGACACAGTCTGCAGGAAGCTCTGCTCATCAACCTCAGCAGCTGCCTCCTGAACTTCTCCCCAACAAACACATACAGGATGGGGTTCAGACAGCTGTGAGAGTAGGCGATGGCTTCTGTGACTTGTAAAGCCAGTCTGATGGCTTTGCTGCGTTCACACCCTGTGTAGATGTGCAGAAGGTCTAGTGCTTTGAAGAAGGATGCAATGTTGTAGGGGACCCAGCAGCAGAAAAAAACTGCCACTACTACTAAAACCACTTGAATGGCCTGTTTCTTGGATGAATGGCTGTACAGCAGCCTCCAGATGATCTGCGAGTAGCAGAAAGACATGATGAAAAGTGGGACAAATAGACCCACAATGTTCATTTTCAAAAGGCCAAACACCCTCCAGAAGTGAGGGTTTAAAGAATTCTCATATCCATCAGTTGGAGGGTATGCAGGGAAGCAGTGGTAGGACATGTTGGCACTTTTCTGCTGTTCGAGGTAGATAAGTTCGGGGAAAGAGGACAGAAATCCAGCCACCCAGGTGACCGCAGCCGCGACCATTCCAAAAGACCGTGTCCGTGCTTTCAAAGCGTACACAGCGTGCACTATAGCCAAGTAGCGGTCGATGCTCATCAAGCAGATAAAAAATATTCCACAGTAGAAGACAATATGATAGGTGCCCAGGACCACCTTACACATTGCGTCCCCAAACACCCACTCTTCCCGGGCCTGGTGAGCAAGAAAGGGAAGGGAACACACTAAGAGCAGGTCAGCGATGGCCAAGTTTAACAGGCACACGTCGGTCATGCTGCGGAGTCTCACCCCACAGACTATGACCCAGATGACCAGGGAGTTACCCAGGATGCCCAGGAGGAAGAAAATAGCATACAGGGGAGGGATGAAATGGGCTGCATGATGCTCATACACACACCTCCCAAAGTCCTCATCAGGGTAGTCATAGTAAAAGTAAGCGCTAATGTCGTTGGTAAAGCCGGTGCTGTTAACAGTGAAGGCCTCAGTGGTAAAGCCG